TTTTTAGATCTGAACCTCAAATGTTTAAAGCCAACTCAAAGCTCAATTTGCAGGGCGAATGGCTCTGCAAATTGTTTATAGATAGACCCCAAAATACGAATAGGCCTTATTGGTGCGTATAATCCCACCAGGCGTGCACATCCGCACATTATGCATGCCTGTGCAGAGACCTGCTCCCAGGAGGGACAGCTGCTACATGTCATCGTGTGCAGCCGCTTGTACCTCCCTATGGGAGGACGCGGCTGCACGCGGCTACATGCCGACCTGAACCTGCACATGTGCATGTTCTGATCAGCATGCTTGAAGAGCATGTGCATGTAGACAGGAAGAAGCTGAAAGGGCTGAAGGAGATCTGCAGCAATGAAATGCAACAAAGGATAAAAAAAGATAAAAACTGCATAGAAAAATAACATGGCAATTGTTCTTAATATATAGTACTGTACATGCGTTCTTTTGGTGGATTTTAGTGCACAGCTGGCCCAGTACTGGAAAAGCCAGGATATTTCAAGCTATTATAATTTGCTTCCAAGCGATCACCGAAGAGTTATGGAGTTTTTCCCTCCGATGACCAGGCCTGTTTTTCCCACCTGCAGCAGAATTCACGGTTTTCCCCCATAAATAAAAGGCCAGCAATTAGAGTTGTGGATTTTCCACCCCTGCCAGCGTACGCTGTGATACCTGATACCCTCACCTCTTGGTTAGAGATCAGCGGCCGCCCTTCCAGAGAATGGATGGAAAGTTCTAACCAGTGCCAGAGCCACAGGCAGCAATATGGAATTATGGAATGTCTTTACTTAAAGGATAAGTACAATTACAAATAAAGTGCACGTATCTAAACCACCTATCCCCCCATCTAAAGTATCCAAGTATCCAACGCACCCCCACTCATGCTTACCTAAGGCCCATTGGTTTCACATTGGTGATTTTGTAATAGCAATTCGTAGCAGCTACAGAATCGCTCTTTTGAGTTTTTGTTGCTAGAAAAATACATAAAAAATACATTGCAGTTAAAAAAGAACTCCAGGAACTTAAAAAGCGTACACTTGCAGAAGGCCTGCTCACACATTGCAAGGGTAAGAGTTCAAAAGTTTAAAGGTAAATTAGGTTTGAGTTTAAAATAAAGGAAAAAAGAAAAGCACTGTGGTACACTTTAGCAATGCATGGCAGCACATGTGCACAATGTACACCAGCATGTGTATATTGTGGGCACCTTAACACCCCCCCAACCCTCCAACCCCCCATGGTGTGAACGAGCCCTTAAAGGGGAATGAAGCCATTTGGGTTCTAGCTGGGAGCTATGTATTCAAATGGCAGCCAAGAACAAAAAAAAATTGTCGGCGCTCTACATAATCCCGAAAATACCTTCAGTAATCAGACAGAGGGGTGACCTTGGCCATTCCGCCTTTTATTGTGACTTTGGGACATTGGAGTTAATGACCTTTTTAGACCTTTTATTGTGTCCTGCTATGTAAAATAAACAATGTCCTAAAGGTGAGCTGGCTGTGACGTTGGGACTGCGGAGTTAATGAAGGACACAGACAGGTTCACATGTCCTCAAACAGTTGTCAATTAATTTATGAAGAGGGCATATGGGAAAAGGTTAAAATGTAACAAGAGAACGTAGAAAATCAATAAGTATACAATGTAACAACACCTCCGAAGTGCAGGCAAGGGCATCTGTTAATCTCAGATTATTTCCAGGTCACCCCTCAATCCCAGATACACGTCATACATTTTCCTTCACCCTGACTCTGATACGGTGCCATGCCCTGCCCATCACCAGAAAATTCAGCACAAGGGCTTGTATTGGTCGTTGAGGCTCTTATGTTCGGTTGGTGAATGGGCAGGGTGGTACGAAGGATGAACACGATAAAGACAAACTGAACTCTGGAAGCTGTGCCCAAAATAAGATGCTGGATTTCCTCCAGCCAGGAAATGAGGCGGAGCTTTATCTGACTTGCTGCAGCTTCTAATGCACATTGTGATAACCTTGCAGTGTAGAGGAAGCAATTTCAGTGCAGAATAGAGAGAACAATTGTGCAAGACTGCAGGGAGGGCCAGAGTTCTAAGCCTAAAACTAGCCCCCATCCCAAGTGCCTAATGCTAACTTAACCCTTGCTGATCTCCATTTACCTTATCAAGCACCTAAACTATGGGGTCACCCTACACCAGAAGCTCCCAGGTCCTGTGCTTAAAGGGGAATTATGAGGGGAGTGCTTGGCACTCAGCCTCATAATCTGAGCCGACCTGTGACAATGAAACCGTCACAGGTCGACTCAGTAGATCGGGAAGTGAGCGAACACATACCGGCGCTCGCTCACTTCTCGATCTATGCCCGCCGGTGAGCCGTGACAGGGGAGTGACTGGATTCCCCCCTCCCCTGTCCGATCCTCCAGCGCTGACTGGGGGAACGGACAGGGGTGGGTATTGCTGGCTCTGCCTCTAGATAGGCAGAGCCCGCTGTCACTCATGCAGCTGGGCGGATCCAGACATAATTGTCGAGATTCGTTTCAGCTCGCGGTATACTGAGCTTTGGGTGACGGAAGGACGCTAGTTTGTGTCCTCCCTTTACCCTAAGGAGAACTATGGGGAAAAGCCCCTGACCCCATAGTTCTCCTTTAATTGCCGAGATCCCCTCTCTATAGACTATGATTCAGTGGGATCGTTCCCTGACTTCCATCAAAGGCACATGGCCAAAATAGGAATTTAGGATCGAATTCCTAGATATGTCTCCAATGCCACCAGGCGTAGATCAGACATTCCGTCCGTGATGCAGTGTCATTCCATTGGTATCTTGACAAGGAATCCCATAGCTTCAGCTTGAGATGCTGAGGAGGGACAGAGACCATCTCTCAGCATCTCCGGGGTGGTCGCACATACTTTCTATACTTCTGATTTATCATAAAACAATGGAGTCTTCTTACATCAAACTATAACTTTGTGTCAACAAGAGGCCAGAAGAGAGATAAGATCACCATGGAATCTTATCTATAGCCCTCGCTGTCTTCATGTATGATAATATTGCTGGCGCAGAAACCCAGAGAGTTTGTTTTCCTGGCCGTGCGGGGTCTACCTTTACTTTATTCATACAGAATTCCTGTTTATTTTATATTGTTTCTTCCCGTTTAACACGTCGATACAATGTTTTCATGTTACAATCGCAAGCTGACTTCCGTTCTATGGTCGCTTGATCCAAAAGGGCACCTTACAGGAGGAGATGATGAATATTATTTGACTCATCTTGTTTAAATGTTTTTATAGTTTACAATAATTTTTAAGGGCTCCTGAAATTTGTGAATAATGCAAAAAGACTATTTTATTATTCTGGTAATTTAATCAACCTTATAAACCATATGCCAACATAATAATATTAATCTATATGCTTTATAGGTCAATAAATTAATATATATGTATTAAGGTTCTAAAAGTCTTTTTTCTATGCATAATTTGTAATATTATATGTACTTGACCCCAGCTCCGAACATGCATGCCACTTGGCAAAGTCATTCCCATGAATGGGGCTGTACTCATAGTGGACACAGCCATCCAAAGGGGTACCGTCCTACCCATAGGAATAAATGTGGTGACTGGTAGCCATGAGCTCTGAAGATCTCTTTGGCCTCCAGCAGAGTTTAAAGTGACATTAAAGGATAATTCCCCCCCATGTTAATGTCAACACTTACCTTAACTATGAGGTGAGTGGGAGGGGGCGGGTACAGCTGGCTCTGCCTCTAGATAGGCAGAGCCAGCTGTCACTCACGCAGCTGGGCGGATCCCGCCATAATTGTCGGGATCCGCTTCAGCTGCGGCATCTCAGTATACCGCGAGCAGTAGCTCGCGGTATACTGTGGCATTTAAGTATACCGCGAGCTGCAGCACGCGTCCATAGGCTTACCTTGTGTCTCTGCTCGTCTCCCGGCCGAGAATCCGAACTGCGCATGCGCCCGCCCCAAGATTCTTTGCGGCCGCACGAACAGTTCCGGACTCTCGCCGCGGGAGCGCGCAGCGATAATAAGGTCAGTCTAAACCGCTGTTTAAGCGGGTTTTTGTTTTTTTTTAAAACTTTTTGCCTATATCTACTGCTCGTCAGCAGTAGATATAGGCAAAAAAACGGGAGGCTTTAGAACCCCTTTAATTGCACACAAATTCTTAATTGGCTATAAACACCTCTAGGTCAAATTATCTCTGTGTCATAAGTGTCATCCATAACAAAAATCAGGGCACTTATTGTTAGTTTGGGGGGACCACCTCATGATGCTGAGGAAGTTTTTTAAAATAATATGAGGGAAGAAACTGCAAGACGCTCCAAAAAATACATTAAATTAATGGGGAGCATTGAAGGAAGATTGACTGTGAAATCCCACTGTCTCCTGTGTTAGGCGTTTCCAGACATTATTGATGGAGAGATATATATGAATTAGATGTGAGAATTTCACTCCCACTCGCCTACGACTCATAACACACCCAGACTTATTTTTTTAGTTGATTTAATAGAAAATTAAATATTATCCTTTAAAAACGTTGAAAAATACTCGAAAGACTGGTTGGAATGGGGACTTTGGCCATAGCCGTGTTTATTCCTCACACTCTGATGATCATTATTGGGCATGGAGTTCACCAGAGCTTCACAGGTTGCCACTGGAGTCCTCTGCCACTCCTCCATGACGACATCACGGAGCTGGTGGATGTTAGAGATCTTGCGCTCCTCCTCCTTCCGTTTGAGGATGCCCCACAGATGCTCTATAGGGTTTAGGTCTGGAGACATGCAACAGATTGACAAAAAAAAAGCAATTTTCTTTACAATGCAATGATGGCACAATGTTGAACATACCGAAAAATAGATTTAGGGTTTACATATACGTCATGCGGCTCATTATTGGTCACATGACACATTCTCCATGTATTAAGCCTGTGAATGATGACTCGTTTGAAGAGCTGTATCTCGCAGTTTATAAACAGCCAATAAATCTTCCGATATTAACGTTTCCCTTTCTTCACAGGAACCGAACTGACCGTTGCTGCTGATATCTCTCCTACCTCAACATGGAACTCTTCCAACGACCTGGAGAAAGGTACGGAAAGCCGAAGGATTCTTTTGCAACACCTTTTGATTTGATAATATGTGCTGAAACGGAAATTTTGGTCATCTGGTAATCCCTTTGACGTTTAATTACGGAGATTTGGGAAATTTGATGGACATGTTAGTTATTTTCCCACCTTTTAAAATGTTCCACATGGGGAAAGTGTTTCAAGATGTGATGTGATCCTTCTTAGGACAGAAGGCGTACTTGGCTTGGTGGGTCTGTTCTTCTGCAGGGTGGTCCATGGGTCCATGCAGTGATGGGTATGATGGTTTGGCAGGTTTTTCCTCCTGCAGGATAGTCACAGTTCATTGTTGAAAGGGGATGGGGATTATTGCATTGGATAGCTAACCGTGATGGTTCAGCTGCTTCGCCCTCTTTTCGGTCAGCAGTGGCTGTGGATGTCTTGAAGACAAGTAGATATGTATGTGTAGTGATAGAACCACATGACTGGACCAGGATAGCAGTAGGAATGGAAAGTATGATTCCTTAAATTTGTAGGCTGCCCCAGGGGCGTCCCGAGGCCGGGTGACACCCCGTTGTGACGTCATCGCGCGTGTGCGCAATGACATCATCGCGCATGCGCGGTCATCTAATTGACACCTGCCGGCAGCCATCTTGGTGATGGATGCCGGCAGAGAGAGGAGGGGACACCGGGGTATGCTGCCGGGTCCCCTCCTCTCTCCTGACACTGTCGGGCTCTCGGTCCATGACCCAGTGCCCGACTTTTTAGAGGGGGTGACGCCAAAATGACTGTCAGTGTTGTCACCCGTGTGCGGGCCGCACCCCCCTTGTGTCGCCACTGAGCTGGCCGCCTTGTGTCGCCACTGAGCTGGCAGTGGGGAAGCTAGACATTCTGTCACCCGGGGCAAAGGTTTAGTGTTGCTCCCCCACCAGGGGGGAAGTTCTCCATCTACACACCCAGCGGCACCCCTCCTAAAGCGGCACCTGGGGCACACGCCCCCCCACCTAGCTTCCGCCCTGACAGGGGTTTCCCAAGGAGTCCCCAGAAATCATTGTAGAATATTGGAAAATGGAGAGCGCAGCACTGATTAATTCAGTCCTTTGTGGATTTTTATTAGAGGCGATGTAAGGGAAAAAAGGCAACGTGATTCGCGGCTCACAAACCCCCTTCTTAAGGGCTTGTATGCTGACAATGATGCACGATTATACGCGACAGCTAGTTATAGGAATTTAAGATTGTGTAATCCCAGTATGGGGTTTTTATAGGATGTGAAGGTAAGAAATCCAACACACTTCAGGGGAGCACAGATCCCCCTTCGGCAGGGCTTGTATGCTGGCAATGGTACATGATAATACTGGACAGGTAATTATTGGAAATGGCAATTATGAAATCCCAGCCAACGTTGCCTGTCAGAAAAATGTCTATTTGTTTGCTCTGGATTCATTATTGAAAACAAGTTTGAGAATGTAATATTACTTTAACCTCTAATAGTGCAACGTTTGTGACTGATGATGATGGCGTTATTGGTTGCATTTAGTCATTATTATTATTATTATTATTATGTGCTAAACCCATTAAAAAAAAAACACACTCAGAGCATGGAGCGGGGAGTTCTGATTGATTGCTATGCGCTTTTATAAAATATTGCCTGGAGTGATAACAGATCCTCGTGCCTTGTAATTGTAGCTGTCTGGTCTTGCGATTTTTTGGATGTGGGTGTTGTGTTTGCTGCCACGACCCCTACTCATTAGTTATGGGATAGGGCAGGAAGGCACAGGAGAGAATGGGAGGGTATGCCGGGAAGTCTGGGGGGGGGCACACAAGGGTCACCAGGAATTGAGAAATAGGTGCCCCCTGCATATACATGTATCTGTATCGGGTAACACAATCTGATCCCAGCCTGCTCCTCTTTATCAATGGTTTATATAAGGGGCGTCTGCAGGCAACATGTGAAACCATTGAACTTCTATCACATGAAGAGATCATCACTGTTACAGTTTTTTTAATTATCTGTAATACGAGTTCTATAAAGTTTAATGTTAGCAGGTTCAGGATGCTTCTCGCACTCCTTGTGGACAGGGGTGCAGCCGATGACATTGTGCCGCTCTGCGCCCCAATCCCTTATGATACATTGTGTGACTGGAGCTGCCATATGGGAGGTTCTTGGAACCTGGGAACTCACCGGTCTGCATACTCACCAGCACATATCTGGGATGATTCTGAAAATAAGGACGGTGGCAAACGCAGAGAATTAAATAGCGGACATTCAGCCAGCTGCGTTCCCTAAATCAGTTCAAAGGCAAAATCTTCATGTTTGACTGGAGTGCTCCTTTAAAAGCATGGCCCACCTTTCCTATCAGGTTTCATGTTACACCCTAAATCTGGTGTGAAACATGGTCACATTTCCCAACCCCCTCCACCCTCACACCAAGCCCCCCTTACACCACTCCCTCTATCACACACCGCTAACCCTCATACACAATACCCCCCTTACCCCACAGGGTGCTTCTCCCTAGACCGCCCTGAGTATATTTAAAGTCTTCAGCATCCAACGTTTTCAGGGATGCCTGGTCACCCCGAGGTCTGTGGTTCCTTCCTGTAGTGATGGAGGGGCTGATGGAAGCAACCACAGCTCACAGCGGGGGGAACAGGCAACATTGGAAGTGTCAGATGCTGAAGATTCTTTAGCAAGTGGGACCAACCCTAACTCTAGGGGACCAAATAAAGAAGAAATACCTAATCCTTGATTCAGCTTAGCTGCTAGACTGGTCCCCGCAGCCTCTCTTCACCTCCACTCCAGTTGTCTCTCAGCACCCTCATGTCTAATACACTGTAATGGACATGATGACATGACGGGACATAGAGCACTGGGGAGTGAGGCCGCGGGGACCGGTCCAGCAGCCAAACAGGATTGAGAATCAGGTGAGTATTTCTTCTTTATTCAGTCTCCTAGACAAAAAATTAGCAGTTAACCCTTGCAGAGCGGGAGGAGGGGGGCGCAACTGCAAGAGTTCTTAAATTTCCTGGAGTTCCTTACTAAATAGTTAAAAAAAACATTCCCTGCAGAGAAAAGAACGAATACTTACCTGTTCCGCCCCATCAAATTCCGCTCTCTTGAGCTTGACCTTGTTCCAGTGTTGTGTGCTCTCACGCTGTGGTTGCTTCCACCGGCCCCGCCATCACCACAGGAAGGAACCACAGACCTCGGGGTGACCAGCCACCCACAGAAGCGTTGCTGAAGACTCTTCAAGAGAGTAGAGATCGTCCATGTGGGCAGCAGGACAGATATTAATTCTTTTCTTCTGGACTGAGGTTCTCCCGTGACTTCAGGTCACCCCTGTTCAGTCTCTCTCCCTTCCATGGAACATGTGTTGATACTTAATGAACCAAATCCAAGTAGTACATAACATCCAGAGATCCCGTCACTCAGTCTATTGATGGCCAGTCTCGTTCACTGGAGAGTCATCCATAATGTCCGAGAAGAAGAGGAATTTGTCATTCTAATGTCCATCTTGAGACACATCACCAACTACGCAACCTTCCGAGGACACGTCAGGCCTGGTGGGTGAACTGTAGTCTAAAGGTCAACTTTCTTATTGGATACAGCAGCCAAAGTCCCTGGTTTATTTTTTAAGCTGAACTCCGGGATAAGCAAATATAATCTAAATACAAGAGCCATGCGTATTCTTCCTGGAATCTTGATGAATGTCTTCCAGATCTGTGAAACTTGGAGCTTCCTGTAATAAAAAACGATCACTGCTGCTCTCTCTCCTTGTGCAGGGTGACTGGTCCTGTCTCCGCCCCCTCCTGTAATAAAGACCACTCACTGCTGCTCTATCTTCTTGTGCAGGGTGAATGGTCTTGTCTCCGCCCCCTCCTGTAATGTAGATGGGTCACTGTTGCTTTCTCCTTGTGCAGAGTGACTGGTCTTGTCTCCGTCCCTTCCTGTAATGTAGATGGGTCACTGTTGCTCTCTCCTCGTGCAGGGTGACTGGTCTTGCCTCCGCCCTTTCTTTTTTTCTCTGCAGGCAGCCTGTACTGAGTAGCCTTTGTACAGGAGCTGTAAAGAGCAGACATTGCTGTTCCCTCTCCTTGTGCAGGGTGCCCGGTCTTGTCTCTACCCCTCCTGTAGTTATTGTACGGGTAGCCTGTACTGGGCGAAGCCTACAGGGCCCCTCTCACACCTCTGCTCTATGCACAGCACAGTAATGATGTCACTGCTACTTTTACAAGATAATATCTTTGATATATATGTTTGTTGCACACATCCTCAAATGTTATCCTTTGTGGTTGTTGAGTAAAATATTTCAGTCAAGGTTTTTGTGCCCAGAGCTCATCTTTTATAATATTAAATAAATTATAAAATCCAGCAGTGA